GACATAGATGAAAAAAATGTGTTGTTGCCCTTAACAACCTGACAAAAGCTTACACTGTCAAGTCTAATTTATGTCTCTAAAAACAAAAGTCAGACTGCCAAGTACACTTGTAAAATCTCAAGTGCTTGTTCATCCTCCTAGTAGTTTTAGATATAAAATGAGAATACAAACTGTACTTGGGATGGAGGCCTTTAAGGAGCTGCCCTGGCTTTGGTCCACTGGAGAATACATCTCCTTTTCTCCACTCTTTGGTATCAAGGGCTTATTCCAAAAAGATTCCTACAACAGACATAAAGACACACACATACACGTAAGAAAAATTTAAACTCAGGTGGTGGTGACACATGCCTTTAGTCCCAGCACTTGGGAGGCAGAGACAAGCAGATCTCTGTGAGTTCCAGGCCAGCTAGGTCCATAGATCAAGTTCCAGGACAGACTCCAGAGCTACACAGAGAAACCCTGTCTTGAAAAACAAAAAAAAAAAAAAAAAAAAAAAAAAAATGTAAAAATGCCCCAAGCTTTGAAGCCCAAAGGTATTCAAACAAAAAGGAAGTGATAAGCCGGCTGTATAGTATATAAGGGATCCTGGTTTAGTCCCCAGGACAACAAAGAGAAAAAAAGGAGGTGCTGGACAGGGTTCCCTAGCAATGTTGGGGAGGATGTGCTTCAATCTAAAGGGCTGTGAACTCATAAGAACTGTGGTTTCTGTGCTTCTCCAAATGGTGGCCAAAAAAAAAAAAAAAAAAAAAAAAAACACAAAAAAAAAATCTGTCAGGGCTGGCCCCAGCACAAGGATAAAAAGGAACCCTGAAACATGTTAGCTTAACAGCTGTATGAAGGCCTTCCCTACTTTCACCAGTGTAGGATACCCTTCTCAGCTGCTGTAGCATTGTGGGCATGGCACTCACCTCAGGGCTGGCTCTGGAGTTCCAGAGGAAAAGCCTTTCCAGAAATCCCAGTACACTCTATTCAGCAACCCAAACCAGAGGAAAAACAGGCAGAAGAGTTGGTGAGAAACAGGAAAGGAAATTTACTTTCAGTAAGAAGAGGTTTTAGGTGATATTTGTCTAGAATCAGTCTGCATGCCAAGACTCGTACCAAGGAAGTTATTTCTGCAAGGTGTGTCTCCCTTTGGTGCCAAGGAAGCCCACTGGGGGTGAGGAAACTGCTGCTGCTCAGAAACAGTCTCCTGCTGCTCAGAAACAGTCTCCATTTGCTTGACAAAGTACTTTACTACCAGGCCTCTGATTCTGTGAGAGGAACTTCTGGAGTTTTCTAGCAGACCAGTGACCTTGAAGTTTAAAAATAAAGTACGGTAGCCAGATGTGATGTCACACACCTTTAATCACAGCACTCCAGAGTCAGAAGCAGGCATACATCTGTGAATTTAAGATATGCTTGATCTACAATGAGACCCTGTTTAAATAACAATAACAACAACATTAAAAACAAACAAGTCCAATGTGATTCCTTTCCAAGGGGCTGACTAATGCCCCTTTCAGGAACGTAGCAACTTGGAAGAAAACCTGCCATACCTGAGGTCTCTGAGAGAACATGAGATGCTTGTTTGTTGCCTTTGGCTGCCTACATGGAGGAAAAAAAAAAAAAAAAAAAAAAAACCTGAGAGGACCAGCAACTTAGAAATGGACTGAACACTGGCTTCCAGATATGTACCCAAGGACACTGAAGAAAAAACCATTGAGATGCATACCCACACATCCTTGTTTTTTATAATGCTATCCACAAAAGCAAAGTCATAGAATCAGCCCAGCTGTCCATGGACAGATGAGTGGACATAGAAAATGTGGTACATACACACAGAAGTGTTTGATGCACCTGTAAAGGAGGGCTGGAGGTGTGCTCAGCTGGTAGAGTGGATTGCTGAGCTTCCACAAAAGCTCCTGCAGTCTTTACAAGCAAATGCAGCTTGGGCAAGCCCAGAGAAGTCACACTAAAGCAAGATCTTCATGACACTGAGCATGGGGGTTCAAAGTAAAATACATCAGATGCCAGAAAAGAGGCCATTTCTGTCTTGTGTTGTTTTAGATTTCTTTTGTTTTGGCTCCTTTATTTTTATGTGTATAGGTATTTTGCCTGCATGTACATCTGTGCACTACATGTGTGCCTAGGTCCACACTGGATCTCCTGAAGCATGAATAGATAGTTATGAGTCATCATGTGTATGCTAGGAGTTGAGCCTAGGTCCTCTGGAAGAGCAGTCATTGCTTTTAACTACTGAGCAATCTCTCCAACCCTGTTGAAATCTTAAAACAGTGAGTGGACTTGCTTGCCATAATTTGTCAGTCAAATTAGCTATGAGACTAGACTACATCTCAGTGACCCTTTAGGCCCTTCAGGACCAGGCTGCTCCTCCTGTCTCAGAGTGCTTCAAAACCACTGTGTCCTGAACATGCTTACAGGACCACAAGGGGTTCCTGGCAGGTCCTGGGAGAAGACTTCTGTGTCTCTGCCAGTCATTTTTGGACAATACAGATGCAGCTAGAACCCTAAAATGACAAACAGAAATGACAAAGAGAAAGCCTTTGAGAAATGGCTATGGAAATTCCTATGGAATAACCATGGGGCTGGCTTTCCTAGTTATAACTACTCTGGGGTCTGCTCAACAACGTTCTTCTTTCCAGCCTTTGCCTACTTACTCTTCTGGTACTACTGGAATCTTCCAGATCACAGGCCATTAGGCTCCAAATAGTGCGGTCTCAGGGATATCAACAGCCACCAACAGCATCAAGCCTGCTTCCTACTACCAAGGACCTCTTAGCCTTCATCATATTCCTGCCTTAAACTTCTTATGATAACAACTCTCTAGAACAAAATATCTGCAGAGCATTTGTTACACCTAGTCCATTATGGATCATAAGGAAGAAGAGACAACACTTACAGTTACAAATATCTTATTAAACCACCATGTAAATGGCCACAGATTGATCAGGGCTGCAGAGCAAGGACTCGGGAACCTTGTTTCTCCTGACAGCCCCAGGCAGGGGCAGAAGTGGGTTTATGAGCACACAAATCACAAACATTTGTTGCCAAGTTACAGTTATAATTTTCACTAATCAGAATTAGAGATTAGGGGTTCCCTTGAATGTTCCATCATTGTCAATCAATATATAATGCAAGCCTTTTAGTCCAACCAATCAGATTCATTTTTTCTTACTGTTGTTGGGAACAGCCATATGTTTCTAAAAAACTAAAGATGCATAATGACTATTTCTATGGTTTAGGGAGGAGGGCCTTTGGAAAGTTTCAGCTCCCCTAGGGCTTGGGAACCTGCACTTTATTTCATCCTGCAGGTAAAATGGAGTCTGAAGTCAAAATGGCAATGCTTAATCCCTTCACCTTCAATACCTTTTAGTTCCACAACCCTGACAGACCACTAAGGCTAACTAGGCCTCTGTTCAGAAGCTCCAGATTAGCTTCTTCCCTTGATAATGATTTGACTTTGCTGCTGTCAGGGACTAGCATAGGAAGGAGCAGGATGACAGTAGCAAAAATTCCCACACTATAACAATCAGATCACAACCTGGAGCCTGACCCAAGTCACTTGTGGTATCTTAAACATTCAGACCCTAATTGTGATTAAAGGTATATGCCACAACACCCAGCTCAGCAGGTTACATTTTAAATTGAGTAAGCTCAGAAATGCAACCCCCTTACCCCCAAAGCAGCCCATGTGAAAATGTAGATAGTTCTGGAACATCCTTATCATCTCTAGAGAGAGAGCACACAGTTTTGGAGTGTATTGTGTTCTGCTGATTAACCTTGACTTTGAATTCCCTTGGGGCACTGTATAATCATCTCAGAAGCCTTAAGCTAAGTTTATATAATGGCTTCTCTGCAGAGAAATGCATGTCTCTTCCCCAAATGGCCTGTCTTCTAGTACCTAAAGATGGGGCCATATACATCTTCATATTAAACATGATTTAATAAACTTTTTTTAAACAGGGGCTCATTTGAACAGTTTGACTTATTATTATTACTACTATTATTATTTTAGACAAGCTCTTGGTGTGTTGTCCTGGCTGGCCCGGAACTCACTCTGTAAACTACACTAGCACAGAACTCACAGATCCACCTCCATCTCCCTCCCAAGTGCTGGGATTCAGGGTGTGTGCCAACACACAAGGCTAAAGATTTTTAAAAATTTCTTATGTATTTTGTCTGCATGTATGTCTGTGCACAAGAGTGTGCCTAGATCCCTGAAACCAGATTTACAGACAGTTGTGAAGGGCCATGTGGATGCTGGGAAATGAACTGAGGTCCTCTGGAAGAATAGCCAATGCTCTAAACCTCAGAGCCAACCCTCTCACCCACTAGCAAAACTTTAAATTATAAGCCCAAATATATCCCATTACAGATCAAAGTCAACAAATTGGAGAAATGTAATTATCTCATATTTCCTTGCAGCAGCCCTCCTATAGGTGGTGCAGCTTTTGCTGATCTGTCTGCAGTTAATGGTCTAGAAATACTCAATGGAAAATACCAGAAATAAGATGGGCAATTGTGCATGCCTTTAATCCTAGCACTCAGGAGGCAGAGGCAGGCAGATCTCTGTGAGTTTAAGGCCAGTCTGGTCTACAGAGCTAGTTCCAGGACAACCAGAGAAACACAAAGAAACCCTGTCTGGAGAAACAAAAAAGAAAGAAAGAAAGAAAGAAAGAAAGAAAGAAAGAAAGAAAGAGAGAGAGAGAGAGAGAGAGAGAGAGAGAGAGAGAGAGAAAGAGAAAGAGAGGGAGAGAGGGAGGGAGGGAGGGAGAAAGGAAGGAAGGAAAGAAGGAAGGAAGAAGGAAGAAGGAAGAAAGAAATAGATAAAGAGGGAGGGAGGGAGGAAGGGAGAGAAAACCAGAAATAGTGGTGAGTGTGGTAGCACACACCTTTAAACCCAGTGCGTGGTATGGGGGAAGCTGTCTCTGTGACTCTGAGGCCAGCCAAAGCTATATAGTGAGACTCTATCTAGAAAAAAAGAAAGAAAATACCAAAAATAAGTTCTAAGTTTTAATTGATTTCCATCATGGTAAATTGTTACATTTTTTTTTCTATCTTACAATTAATGTTGTTAATCTTTTACTGTGCCAAATTTATAAATTAAAACTTTATCACAAGTATATTATACCTGTGGAAAATAAAACATATGGGGCTCACTGCTTCCTAGCTCCAGTTGCCCACTGGGAGTCATGAAACACTCCTCAGATGAGGAGCCACTGTACCAAATCCACAACAGTGTTCTTATATTCTTGACAAACTATGTTCATTAAAACCACAACAGGAAAAAATACAAATGTCTCTGAACATATCAGGAAAAATGCCAACCTTTTGATAAACTATGAGTTTAATTCCTCATACCAAATATATCATGGCTGCTTTCTCTACACATTATTAATACCTACAGCTGTACAATTTTTTTAAAGATTTATTTATTTATTATGTATACAGTGTTCTGCCTGCATGTATGCCTGCAGGCCAGAAGAAGTAACCAGATCTCATTACAGATGGTTGTGAACCACCATGTGGTTGCTGGGAATTGAACTCAGGACCTAAGGAAGAGCAGTCAGTGCTCTTAACCTCTGAGCCATCCTCTAGCCCCCAGGGGGGGAAAAATAATTTTTAAGAATCAATATTTTCTTAGAACACTTTGCTAATGCAGTGCTATAATCCAGTGAAGAGAGTTGGTTTTTGTTCCTTGAGACAGGGTGTAGCCCAGACTGGCCTTGAACTCTTGAGCCTCTTGCTTCTGCCATAAAAGTACTGAGATTACAGGCATGTACCACCAAGACAGGCAAAATTACTTTGTTTCCTCTTAATATTAGTCACTGGTGCCCTTGAGCAGTGGACAAAAAGCTAGATTTCTTGAATTTGACTACACCAGAAGCCTGGATTCCCACAGGCAACCATAGCTGAAAGGCCCTCACTGTCTTAAGATTTCAGGCCTCTCACCTGGAATGTTCAGCATCTGAGTGATTCCCTCTGAAGACCCAGTTCTAAGGCCAGCTGCTCTGGGGTCACCCAAGCTGCCTCTGCGGCAGTGCTAGTCCACATGAAGACCACTGCAGAGAGTCTACTGAGCAGTCACCTCTGGCTGGGGTCTGTTGAGGTCTTGGTTTGTGTTTCTTAGCACTTTTAAGGCACTCAAAGCTCTTCATCTAAGATTTCACACCACATCCAGGATTTGCTCACCTTTGGCTACAGGCTAGGAACTTGATTTACAAAGGTACAGTGCCAAGAGCCCATCTTCAACCCAGGAAATCCCAATCTCTAGATGTGAGGCCCTGAAGTTCTTGGGGCTAGGGATGTATCTCGGTGAAAGAGCACTTGTCCTTGCCTGGGATACTCAGGGTCTTGGGTTCAATCCCTAGCACAAGTAGAAAATCACAGACCTCCTTATATGAGGGTCTCGTATTACAGTGTCAATTTCTTGATTTAATAGTCTATATCCTGTTCCCACTTAACAGGATATCTCTATGTCTGAATCTATCCAAGACAAAAGCAATCAAAAAATCACATTCTTAAAGTCATGACTTCAGGCTTGAGCACATTTACATTAAAAAAAAAAAAAAAAAAAAAAAAAAAAGGTAAATTGCCTGGTCTGTATTCCTGCACATGGGAGGCAGGAGGATTTCTGTAATTCAAAGAAGAGCCTGGGCTACATAATGAGTCCCAGCCTGGGGTGCAGAGTAAGACAGTTTCAATACCCTCCCACAAAGGAGAAAAAAATAGAAAGAGAAAAAAAAATTGTTCTACAATTTGAAGAAAATTCAGGCCACCTACATCCAGCCCATTGAATTCAAATCCAGATATTTATCAAGTTCCAGGTGACTCTTTAAACACCAGTCGGTGGTGGCACACTCCTTTAATCCTAGCACTTGGAAGGCAGAGGCAGATGGATCTGTGAGTACAAGGCCAGCCTGGTCTACACAGCCAATTCCAGGACAGCCACAGCCAGGACTGTTAACACAGAGAAACCCTGTCTCAAAAAAACAAAGCAAACGAACAGAAATAAAAAGATTAAAAACAAAGCCCTTCAAGTCTGGGAAACTCTGCCATTGTCCCATACACAGTTAAAAGCCAGGTAGTACTCAGGAGGCTGAGGCAGGAGGACCCCTCTTGAACAACTTAGTGAGACCCAGGATCAAAAGAAAAACCATAAAGAGGGCTGGATGTAGCACTGTTCAGTAATAGAGTGTCTGCCTAGCATGCACAGGGCCTTAGGTTCAATCCTCCTATTCAGTCCTATACTTCCCTGCAAAACGGAAGAGTGAAGACATTCTGGATGAAGATCATGTTCTCCAGTAAACAGGAACACTATGTTTTCTCATGGCCCAGATGAAGAGTGCTGGTAAAGATTCAAAATCATCTCTGCTGATTGAGTTCTTCAAGAGCAGGATGCTCTGGGGAGGGTCAGTGCTCAGTTACAGTTCCGTTTTAAGTTTCTCATACAGGTTGTCCTGGTCAATCATGTCCTCATTGCCGTTCCAGCGGTGGTAGGCAAGGAGAGCTGCATTGTAGCCAGCAATGGCACTCATCTCCATGCAGCTGGCAGCAAACTCAATGCCATTGAGGTAATAGAGTCGGTCATGGAGGATGATGGAGGGACACTTCTGAGGAGGCTCATAGTACGGATAGGACAGCCATGACTTCCGTGCAGCATAATCATAAGACAGGAAGAGCTTTGAAATCTGCTCTTTAGTGAGAATGTCCCTAGAGAAGGTCCTCCACACTTGAATGCCCCCCATTGCCCGTGCAGGACCCTCTTTCTCTTTTACAGAGGCTACAATGGACAGGCTATTAATAAACATATCTGAGTCATCAGTGACAAGAATTGTGGAGAGGCCAAATTGGTCCTTAGGTCTGGAGCTGAAGAGAGTGGAATTGAGTTCTCCTTTAATGAAAGTTGTCACCAGGTGTTGATATGGGTCATTGAATTCCTCGATGGGCGGATCAAAATTGAGGAAAGTTATGCCAGACATCTTTCGGTTCAATGGAGCAGCCACAAGGACAATATCATAGAACTCAGAATGGGTCTCAGATCCTGTTTTATAAACCACTTCATACATCTTTGTGGGATTTCCTAGAGAGCAAGGGCAAGCATGGATTTCTTAGTGCTTTTAACATACTCAATTTCAGTCTTTCTCAAAATCATTCTGTACATTTTTTTGTCTTCTTTGTTTGTGTACATGTGCATTTTGTGTGTGGAGGCAAGAGGTGAAACTTCAAGTGTCACCCCAGGAGCTGTCCATCTTGTTTTTTGTCTTTTTTTTTTTTTTTAATATATATTTATTTTTTTATTATTTTATGTATTGAAATGTTTGCCCACATGTATGTTTGTATACTAAGTGTATGCCTGGTGCCTGTGGAGCCAGAAGACTGTGTCAGATCCTCTGGAACTGGAGTCACAGGCAACTATGGGCTGCCAAGTGGGTGTTGGGAATTGAACTTAGGTTCTTTGCAAGAGCAGCAAATGTTCTTAACCACTGAGTCATCTCTCTAACCCCCCACCTTACTTTTCTCTCACTGTAACTCACCAACTACCATATGCTGGCTACCAGAGAATCCCAAGGATTTCCCTGTCTCTATTCTCTCTCTCCAGCACCACAATTACAACCACTTGCCAAAATGCCCAGCTTTATATGTGGGTCCTGGGATCAAACTCAAGTTCCCATGCTTATGTGGCAAGCATTATACTGAAAAGGTTCTTATCTTCCCAGCCTTGCTTTTATTTTTGAGACAGTGCTTTGTGTAGCTTAGGCTGCCTTCAAACTCACTACACTGCCAAAGATAACCTTGAACTTTTGATCCTCCTGTTTCCAGTTCTGGAAGATTAGAATTATAAGGTATGTGCCAGAGGCTGGAGAGGCAGCTCAGCAGTTAAGAGCACTGCCTGTTCTTCCAGAGGACCCCAGTTCAATTTCCAGTACCCACATGGTAGTTCACGCCTATCTGTAACTCCAGTTCCAGGGAATCTGCCAACTTTACACAGACATATATGTAGGCAAAACACCAATAAACATAAAATAAAAATAAGGTATGTTTTTGTAGTGTAGGAGATCAAACCCTTGGCTTGAGGCAAGTACTCTACCAACCAAGATACACACACAGAATCATGATAGTGTATATGTGCTGTGACTATAGACTATGTACACACACCTATGCATGGATGTATCTGCATCAGGACATGCACACAAAGGCTAGAAGAGGACATAGGGTATCATGTTCTATTTGCTCTTTGCCTTATTCTCTTGAAACAGGGTCTCTCACTGAACTAGAACTAGCCAAAAACCATAGTGTTATTTCTGTCTATAGTCTCCAGCATACTGAGGTTAAAGGTATATATGAGAGACATCTAGCTCTTTTTTTTTAGACATGGGTGCTAGGGATTTAAACTCAGGTCCTCACGCTTGTGAAGCAAGTGCTCTTATCCACTGAGCCATTAAACCAGGCCAGAAAAATCTTTTCTTTTGGGATCCCTTACAAAGTTCCAAAACAATGGAACTTCACAATCCTCAAGCATGTTCCCAGCTGGCCTAAAGGGCATAACCATGGCTCATGGGATATGGAAAAAAACCTCATTTTCAAAGGGCATGTTCTACATTTTATTATTACTGAGTAGAAAATTGTCCTTGATGATGTAATACAATTGGATAATTATATAACCCTTAACTTTTTACAATCATAGAGAAGCTATTAGTGGTATATAGCTTTAATCCCAGAATTTAGGAGTCAGAAGAAAGTGGATCCTGTGAGTCTGAGGCCAATGCAGTATACACAGTGAGTTCCAGGACAGCCAGAGCTACTTTAGATACAAAAACCCTATCTGAAAAAAAAAAAAAAAAAAAAAAAAAAAGTGTGTGAGTGTGTGTGTGTGTGCCATGTGCTATTTTCTCCCTGAGCTGTCATTTTTGCAAGAATAACCAGGAACAACCAAAGTTCAGTCTCACCTGTCTGCTTTGTCCTTGTCTTCTCCTCTATGGATACTACAGAGCCACTTATAAGGTTGCTGCTGGAGGCCTGAAGGAGCCCTGAGCAAACAACTTTATTGCCACCTTCCACCGCCCAAAGGTTGGAATCAGCAGCTGTCATTGACACTGCCCCTGTCAGGAAGGGGCAAAAACACATTTTAATTCTGTCTTGGTTGGGTAAGTGGCCCTCTCCTATCCACTTAGATGTTTTGCTCCAAAAACCTCCAGACACTGCCAGAGGCCTTCAGGGGCAAAGGTCTCGATCGGGAAAGAGACACTGGAACTAAGAAAAGCACTCACAGATAGAAATAAACTATGTCGGTAAAAATGCTTGAGAAGGTAGCTTCCTCCATCCCGAGGTTGACTCCAGAGCTCCCCCTGCCCCAAGTGGCTAACTTCCTTAGCTATGGTCATCCCTGATTTCCTCCAATAGTCTCTTACCCACAAAGGCATTGAGGTCAGTGCTTTGACCAAAATTGATCCTCATGATAGGAGCAATCATTTCGTTGAGGAATGTCTCAGAGAAGCCTGCTTTCTGCAGGTTTTCACGGAGTGTTTGGTTAAGTAGTCGGACATAGTCATCCCCTCCAATAGCGAGCATTAACTTTTCTACACTGCTGAAGGCATAGTCATGGGACTGATAACGATAGATCCTTGAAAGAAAGAGAAATGCCCATTAAACCCCATGCAGAATCGGGGCTATAAACAGCCTCAGAAGAATTAAAGTGATGCCAGACTTGGGAGGCTGAGGCAGAAGGATTGCAAATCATAGACCAGCCCTAGATATACAGTAAAAGTCTATCTTTTTTTGTTTGTTTTTCAAGACAGGGTTTCTCTGTGTAGACCATGGTGACCTCAAATTCACAGAGATCAACCTGCCTCTGCCTCCCAAGTGGTGGGATTAAAGGAATCCTCCACCACCAGTTTGTGAAATTCTATCTTTAAAAAAAAAAGAAAAGAAAAGAAAATCACCAGGTGCTGGTGGTACACATTTTTAATCACAGCATTCAGGAGCAGAGGTAGGTGGATCTCTATGAGTTCAAGGCCAACCTGACCTACAAAGTGAGTTCCTGGACAGCTAGAGCTGTTATACAGAGAAACCCTGTCTTGAAAAACCAAACCAAACCAAACCAAACAAACAAACCAAAACATGATGGATGCTGACTCACAAAATCTGTGCATCCACATTCACATCACATACAACAGACAATAATAAAATAAAATTTAAAAAACCAAACTCAGCTGGGCTTGAGTGGGAACTCCAGCTTTACCACTTCCTAGGTGGGGGGGGTGGCCTTCCACACTTAAAACCTGGACATCCTCACCTTCCACACCTACAAAAAGCAGCCAACAGCAGTGGCTCCCGAGCCAGCTGCCATGAGAATTGATGCCTTTTTTTTTTTCAACCCCAGCTTCTGAATTGTTCTTTGCAAATGTTTCTTTAGTGTTGCCAGACACACTTAGATGCTGTACAAAAGTCACCTTCTTAAATGGGATGGTCAGGCATACCAGGCAAGTGTTCAACCATTGAGCCATATCTCAGCCTTTGCAAAGCACAATTTAGAAACAAAACAACTAGCATAACCAGCTCCCAAATGGAGTTTTCTGTGAACCATTTTGCCTAACAAGGTGGTGGCTAGGTGGTAAACTAGTTCAGGAAACTAACATTCTAGAACTCAACAGACTGAAAGGGATAGTTACCTCATGAACTTGTCCAACAAGTCTTCTACCCACATGTGCATTCTCAGGGACTGAAATCCATAGTGCCACACCAGCTTAATCATGTTGATTATAAACCAGCTGCTCTCCTCAAACACTAAAGACTTTCCATTGTACACTCCCATTAAGCCACCTGAAGTTGGAACACTGGAAAGACCTGCCAAAACAAAGGGAGGGGCTCAGGAGATAGCTCAGTGATTAAAAGTTCTTGCTGCTCTTATAGAGAACCTGGGTTCAGTTCCTAGCCTAGGCATCACCTGCAACTCCAGTTCCAGGAGATCTGATGCCTTCTTCTGGCCTGTGTGGGCATCTACACACACACACACACACACACACACAGAGAGAGAGAGAGAGAGAGAGAGAGAGAGAGAGAGAGAGAGAGAGAGAGAGAGAGAGAGAGAGAGAGAGAGTTTTTAAGAAATCTTAAAACACAAAAACCCAGAGGAAAATTATACCAGTGGCTTCAGTGGTTTCAATACTAGCCCAGAGAAAAGGGAATTTGGGGGATCTGCCAGGGACATTCTGAGTAACTTAGGGGCTGTCTTCAGGCCTCAGGAGACACATTAGAGGTCTATGTTTAAAACAATGTGGACACGTACTGATTGCTCAATCCATAAACTGTCATACTAGGAGATGGGTCAGAAGATCATGTGCACGTACCAAATTAACCCCAGTATTCTTAGTAATGGAGAATGAATGGCCAGGGGTGAAAACGGCACCTGGGGAGTAAGATGTACTCCATTCCTACACTGATCGTGCAAAACTAGGAACTCCAGGTAAATGGAAAAAGGCCAAAGTTACACAACATTTCCTAAAAGGGCTTGCAGAGGCCTGCCAGACTTCCTCACAACATGCTTCGATCCTCTGCTAGCAGTGTGTGTCATATGTTCCTGTGAGCACATGTCTCTGTACTCTATTTGAATGACTTCATGCCAAGTGTTTGAAGCCTGTGGGTCTCATTTTCTCATCAGAAAAACCAGCTGAGGTTTCTGCTAGCTCAAAACACCCTGATTCTTCAACTCAAACCTAGGGCTTTAAGAACTGATGTGGGGGAGTGGATGTAGGGGAGACAGCAAAATGGCTCAGTGCCTAAAGGCATCTCATCTGCTGCCAAGCCCAATGACCTGAGTTCAATTCCTGGGACCCACATGGTAGAAGGAAAGAACTGACTCGACCAGTTGCCCTCTGCCCTCCATACACACACACTGCAGTACTCAGATACATCCCACCCCCACTGTCACACAAAATAAATAGCTAAAATATAATTTTTTAAATAATTTTTTAACACTCAATAACAGGCATCCTCACTCCACCATGTGGTTGTAATTCCAGAGAACTGATGACACACAGATAACTAGAGTCTCATTACAGGAGAGTGGCTCAAAACTAAACCAGTACCAACTGCTAAACCCCACAAGGGAAACAGTTTCACTAACTTCTCTGTAGAAGAAAAACAAAGCAGAAACAACTCAGTTCTCTTGTGTGATGAAAACACCTAGAGCCAGTCACACAAATCTGCTTAGCCCTAAGACCAAAGTCACATACCCAGCTCTTTGACAAAACGCTTCATGTGCAAATTTAGAGGATGGATGACAGAGCCCCCTGACTCATAGTCATGACCTTGCACCTTCAAAGTGGCCAAACGGCCCCCGACCTCTTCTCTTTCAAATACGTCAATCTTCACATCCTTTCCAAATTTCTTCCGAAGGTAATAGGCTGAGGAAGTGCCACCAATTCCAGCACCAACGATTGCTATAAGGAGGGAAAAAGAGGAACCGTTTGTTTCCTCTCTTAGCAGTGTGGCTTTGTTTTTGAAAGGCTATTAACCAATAACAGACATTACTCAAGATTATAACCAACAACTTGGGGGGAGCCTGGGGGCAGGGTTCTCTCTGAATTTGGACAGGCGCTGTAGATGAAATAACAAAGTCAAAAGATGCCCAAACATCCTCACAGATCGTTGTGGAAAGACCACCGGATCCACGGACCCTCCTATACCCACTTCCTGAGGAGGAAGGGAATGGGCCACTCCTGCACGCATTTTAAATAAAGTGGCCGCCATCTTCACCCAGCTTTGTTCTTTGTCTCTCCAAGGCCCCAACACCATAAACGATTCCAAAAGACACAGCTTCAGATGGGGTCAGAGCGCCCGCAGGTGAAAACCCGAGGCAAACAAAGCCAAGAAGATAATTGGTCCTCTGGTTAGCTGCAGCAGTTGCGGCCTCCCAAGCAGAGCGCAGGTGCCTGGAGGCGGTCCAGCTTTTCCAAGGGAGGGCTGGAGCAGGGGACTGAATGGTCCCTGTGCGGTATCTGCGCGCCTCCGTCTGCAGATAGACATCGACTCGGCTCCAGGGACAGAGGCGGGCTCCCGAGGGTGTCTAGCTCCTAGAGCTGAGGACCTCCCAAGCCGAGGCTGCAGGGTTACCGAGTCCCCAACCTGCCCACGCCTCCAGTGGCACTGTTCCAAGCTCGGGAGCGCATTGCCGGATCCTCGGGACCCCGATCTCCATCCTGCCACGGGAAGACGGACCTCAGCATTGCCTCGCCTCCTCATCCCCCGCACCTACCGATCCTGTCTGGCGGGGCCCGGGGCTCGGCGCTCGCCAGGCTGCCCAGTTCACACAGCACCAGCCCGAGCAGCAAGCCCACCAGCACCACGATGTCACGTCCCATGGCCTCCAGCAGCTGCAGACTGACAGTGGGTCGGCCAGCAGACCCGGAACTCTATGAGTCTGCGCGCGCTCGACCCGCCCACGCCCCGCCCCAGGGCGCATCGCCACGCCCACACGTTCCACCCAAGTCTTTTGCACCCCAGTCTCATCCTAACTTGTGTTTCTGACCTAAGGCCACTATGTTCCCAAAGTCTACTTTGTCCCTGGAAACACACATCCAAGGCGTATTTTGAGGCCCACCTCAGCCTTCCCCCTTCCTCCTTGCCTCTCCGGTAGAATAGAGTCCCCCGCTTCTTCACTAATGCCCTCTGCGGTCCCCCAAATCGTGTGCTTGTAGTGAATACTCGGCTAATCTCAGTCAAAAAAAAAAAAAAAAAAAAAAAAACAGTCAAACCTGCCGCTAACTTTTCCGGAGTGAGTGCTTTGTTCCAGGGAAAACAAGGGAGATGGGGCATTGTGAAGTTGCATGCTACCAACGTGAAACTAAGTTTTTTTTCATTGACCTTCATAGAAAAAGGAACTGCTAGCCCCTGGTTCTGCTAACACACAAGATAAGGAAATCCCCTCTACTTCAGCCTTCCCAAGGAAAGTTAACTTGAAGTCCATCAACTCATCATTCTCTGCTTCTACTTTCCTTTGCCCTTGTCAGCGTTGAGACCAAGGCTTCTCCCCAAGACATGGGGAAGAGCTGTGCTACTTTATATAACAAGGTGCTTCCCAATTCTAACAGCACGCATTCTTGTAGGGTTTTTTGGGTTTCCCCCCCCCACACACTTTTTTTTTTTTTTAAATGACAGAATCTCAAGTAGCCCTAGTGATCTCAAACTTACTATGCAGGCCAGGCTGGCCTTGAACTCACCCTCCTGCCTCTCCACCTCCTGTGGGCTGGGATTTGACAGGCTTTCATCAGCCAGAAGCTCACATAACAAAATTGACCCCAGGGTCTTTCTCTTGCTATTTATTTGCCTTCTCACAGTTGTTCAGCCATAGAAACTCCAACTTTTCTTCTTGTCCTGTGCTTTGTCATTTCTCTAACAATTGTCTGGTGCTCCGAATAAAATCAGCTATTCAAGACCAGACAGTGGTGGTACACAACTTAGACCCAGCACTTGGGAGGCAGAAGCAGTGGGTCTCTGTGAGTGCAAGGCCAGCTGGGTCTACGCAGAGTCTACACAGAGAAACCCTGGGAACTGGGGGAGACTAATGCATGAGACTTTAGTCCATTTCATTATTAGCTCCATCCTCCCAGGTCTCACTACCTCTAGAGTGGTGACCTTGGTCTACAGAGTGATTTACAGGATAGCTAGAGCTACATAAACTGTCTCAAAAAAAAAAAAAAAAAAAAGAATAAATAAATAAGTCCAGGATGTATTTGAGGAAGATGCTCAATGTTAACTTCTGTGAGAAAAGCTTTTGACTCTAACTTGACCCCATTTCTCTTGTCTCCCAAAAACAAACACAAAAGAAACAGTATATGAGCACAAAGAGCAATATTAATGAAAGGTAACTGAGTTGGAGATGAAGAAAGGTTAAACTTGGTGCTAGCAAGATGACTCACAGTCCAAGCAGATGACCAAAGTCCTATCCCCTGAAGTCATATGAAGGCTGGAGAGAACCTACCATAAAGTTGTCCTCTGACTTCCATGTGCACACTGTGGCCTGCATCAGGACAGGTCTCACTGAGCCCGTACCGTACCATTTGGGCAGAAGCTGATAAGAAGTGAGGGAGCAGGGTCATGTAAGTAAAAGTGGAGAGAACAAAGAGAACTCTTGACATGTTTGAGGGGTCGGTAGGTCAGTTCCAGAATTCAGGGGTGGAGGTGACTAAGGGCCAAAATGGGAGAGCTGTACTTAGGAGCCCAGAATGCAGGGCCAGTATATCTATATACAGCAAAGGAAACAGCTAAGCTTTAGCTTTAGTTTCTCAAAGTATGTTGTTCCACACACAGGAGTTCAGTACATTAGAAGCAACAGACCAGTGGTAAATATTTGTTGTTTGATTACAATTGGTTCTGTTAGTGACCTTGAGCCTAGTGTCATATTTGGAAACTGACTTCTAATACTGAAATTCAGTGAGAGGCAGGGGAGGTGCTCTGCAAATGGGAGCCAAGGCATTTTCATTCTGTACCCTGGTCCTTTCAGAAGAACAATCCTGATGATACTCAGACTGGGAGCAGAGACAGACAGACAGAGAGAGAGAGAGAGGTAGGAGCCAGGTGATGTAGCACAGGTCTGTAATCATAATTCTTGGAAAGGGGAAGCAGGAAGATCAATAGTTCAGGCCTGCCTGTTTTACACAACACCCTGTTTCAAAAATAACAACAGAACAAAACACAGTAACAATCAAAATAACAGAGAAAATATTACCATATAAAGTATATATTTTTTTTCTTTTTTTGAGACAGAGTTTCTCTGTATAACAGCTCTGAATGTCCAGGAACTAGCTCTGTAGAGCAGGCTGGCTTCAAACTCAGAGGTCTGCCTGCCTCTGCCTCCCAAGTGCTGGTATTAAAAAGTGTGCACCACCACCTCTGGCTAAAGTATAATTTTTTTGTTTGTTTGGGAGACAACTTTTGTTTTTTAGTTTCATCTACATTGGTGTTTTGCCTGCATGTATGTCTGTCTGAGGGTGTCAGATCCTCTGGGGTCTTCTGGGGCTGGAGTCACAAACAGTTGTTAGCTGCCATTTGGGTGCTAGAAATTGAAACCAGGTTCTCTGTAAGAGCAGCTAGGACTCTTAACCATTGACCCCTCCTGTCTCAGCCCAAAGAGTGCTGGGATTACTTGCATGTACCAGAACTCCCAGCCTTTGTTGTCTGAAAAGTCAGTCTCTTTCAGAAATTTAGGACCACCAAGAATTCTCTGGAGAGATGGCTCAGTGACTAAAAGAACTTATTGCTTTTCCAGAGGACTGGGTTTAATTCCCAGCACCCATATGGTAACTGTAATTCTAGTTCCAGGGGCTCTTCTGGCCTCCTCAGAAACTAGACACATAGAAAATAAAATAAATAAATAATTTCTCTAAAAAGAGCTTACTGTTGATTTCAGCTCAGGCTCCCCTGTAGAAGGTTGGGAGGGTCACTTCAGGGCAGTTAACCAACCCCACAAGAGGTCATTAACAAACACAAATAGGTTGCACATGGACTGACTTCCTGCTTTCCATAGTTTTGAATACCCTTGCCCTACTAATCCCCTGCTGAGCTCCTTCCCTGTTACCTCATTCTTGCCCTAAAATATTCAGTCACCTCTATACAAATTGAATTTGGGTTGTTGGAATTTTCCCTATTGCAATAATATCTTACTGATTAAAATCTGACTCTTAGTTCATGCACTTCCATGCTTGTCTTTGAGAACAGAAATCCAACATTCTGCCACTACTCACAGAGATCCTCCTGTCTCTACCTCTGGAATGCTTTGACTAAAAATATGCACCTCCATGTGCAGCCACATCCTGCCGAGAGTAGTATTTTAAACAGAAAACATTAATAGCTATGCACAAATAAGAATTTTCTTCTAATAGAACAATAATTGGGAATGTCCTTAATTTTGCAAAAAAAACTCAGAGCGCTATCAATTGATAGGAAGTGGCAAATTGTTTCATCTCTTAGCTTTCACAACTTATTGTCCAAACGTTTGCAACTAAATATCCAAGCTGGCTGCTGCCACTTGAGCAACACCGTATAGGTGCCTTGTAGAAACCAGCCCTGTAGAAAATGTTTCTTTCTGAAAAACAGAAGTCCACCCGAGATTTTGAAAGACCGGGTCCTCTGGAGCTTCACTCTTAGAAGGTTCTAGAGCACGTGACTGAACTATTTATTTATTTATTTATTTATTTTCTCTTAAGCTCTTTCTCAGAAAGACCTATATGTCATTAAGCGAAGTCTGTGGAAAAAGGTCCGTGGCCTCCGAACCAGAACAGAAATGGGAATATGAGGTTGAGAAAGCACTGGAAGTTTAGCGCTATCAAAGCCTGGTGGCTCTCCATGTCGTCTCACATCTAGTTCTAAAGACCTGGGGCCTTTGTGGTATAGTTCGCTATAGTGTAGATTGAGCGTCACCTGGAGGTTATATGCTGCTAGAGCAACTTCACCTTCAAGGGCCTCTTGCAATGAGCTGCAACCTTCTCAGAACCCTGTAACACTGAGCATGCCTGAAGATTAAAAAGGATGGTCTATGTGGCAGCAACTATGGAATATTTGAAACTCACCATTTTCATCAAAAATTTGAATTTTGTTGAGATTAATCAGCTAAATTAAAACACTTAAGATTGTATTTACCTTGAGGGGAAAAGCGTAATAGGCAGAGAGAAAGGTAAATCCATGTAACAAGCACCAAGTTAGCCAAAGCTACACAGTAAGACCCTGTTTTCAAAGTGTGCATGTGAGAAAGTCAGAGACAGATATACCATTACTATGCTTATATTAGCAAAAACTAGAAAAATTAATAGCATCTCAGTATAAGAAAAATGGAGGAAGTAGAGGAGAGCAGCTTGGGGCCTGACTTTAAAGCATTTTTCAGTGGGATGTGAAAGATGGCTACAACCTTGCCTTTGTTGTCTCAGTGCTTGGAATGCTAGAATTACAAGTGTGAGTCCCCACAGAGTCTTAAGCCTCTGTTTGCTAGGCTTAAGGTGCTCGAGTGGGTGAGACAGCAAGCGTGGAAGCAACTCTGAGAGACCTACGCGGCAGGAGACTTGGAAGTTTCACATCACTTCCAAGTTGGAGATCCAGGTTACATTAGATATCACCGCACAGAAACCTTGAGACTCAGTCCTCCTCCTCTGGACCCACCCCCACACCACTCCAGGTTATAGGACCCAGGGACAGCCTCTTACAACTGCCCATTTTTATTTCTCTCTTGTTGCTTACTATTAGAAAAATTGTTACTTTTGTTATGAGTGCTGTCCAGATTATGGTGCTTAGATAGCAGTACAGGAGCCTCCGGAGCCAAGAGGAGGCTGCTTCTTAATTTCCGTAGTTATAAGATTAGAACTATTGACAAGAGAAAAAGGGGGGAATGAAACACCAAAA